GTTGCAGGCCAGGTCCCCAGCAGGAGGTGCATGAAATACAACCACACATGGCTGTTTTCCTCTCTCCTTCCCTTCTGCTCTCTAAAAATAAATAAATAAAATCTTAAAAAAAAATTGAGAGACTAATAAAATGGAAGAGAGTCTGAGACATAAACAGTTTCGAATTCTGATTGCTTTCTAGATCTAGTTTACAATTTCTCAGGGGCCCAACAACACTTAACTGCTCTTAAGGTCTATGAGATATCCCTACACTCCAATATATTTCCCCTTTTTTTCTGTGAAAACCAATTTGAGTGGTTTTCTATTCCTTTCCTAAAAGACAATCTACTAATAACTTGGAAATAAGACAAAGTAGATTTCTCACTAATAGTTAAATTAGCAATTCATGAGTATATGTAAATATGTAATTGAAAGGCTTTGGATATATCCTTAATTATAAATTAAGTGGCCTATCTGAAATCTCAAGGAGGCAACCTCTGATAAGACCAAACTCAGTCAGCAGAAACCTAATCTTTTGTCTGAAGAAAAATAATTTAATCAGCATAGTCAACCTGGAACATAGAAAGGGAAACCAGGAAAGGGAAACCCAGTATCCAAGGTGATCCATTTGCATAGTGCAAGGATGATTTGATATTAGGAAGTCTTTGTCCATGTTAATAGGTCAAAGAGAAAACGGCCATCTGTCGATTTCATCATTTTGAAAAATCATTCAATAAAATTCAACATAAGTTCCTGATGAAGGTGAAAAAATGTAATTATGTTTCCTTAGCATGGTCAAGAAAATATATAGACACCCCAAGTAAACTGCCATTATCTGCTTACTGGTGAAACATTAGGAACACTTTATTATTTTTTAAGACCGCATTTACTTTTAGAGAGAGGGGAAGGGAGGGAGAATGAGAGGGAAACATTGATGTGAGAGAGAAACATCCATCCGTTACCTCTTGCACACACCCCAACTGGGGACTGAATCTGCAACTCAGGCATGTGCCCTGGCTGGGAAGGGAACTGGCAACCCTTTCCCTTGCAAGACAATGCCCAACAACTGAGCCTTACCCCAGTCAAGGCAGAAACACTTTAATTAAAACCAAGAAAAAAATTGTATTTACTACTGTTCAGGAAGTGCCACTAAGTGTTATATTAAAAGATGTAAATGTTGAAAAAGATTTACAGATATGATTATGTAGCTGGATAGTTTAAAGGACAAATAAGAGATAACAGTAATATAACTAATTAGAAATATAAAAAGATGAAAGCTTTATTAAGTGTTAACAATAACAGATTAAACAATGTTAATAGGAAAAAAACTCAAAGTAGCAACAAAAACCGTAAGTAACTAGGAATAAACTTTTAGAAATGTTCAGGACCTGCATGGAGAAATATCTAAAACTATGTTCCCAAAGGAGAAGGCTCAATATTATAATCTTGAAATTTCCCCCAAATCAGTGAATTCTCAATAGAAATCCCAATGGGATTTGTGGCAATCGCTGTTGGTTGCCTACCCAATAGTCATAGCCCTTCTTTATTGCTAGAAGAACCTAGTGTGTGGAAAGATGCTCAACAGTAAGCTTTTAGATTACTTTGTAATCTAAATGTCTTGAAATAAACTTAACAAGAAAAGTGCACATTCTATATGAAGGAAACTTTAAGAAATATTAAATGATATTATAAAAGTACAATTAAAAGGTGTACAAAAAATTAGGCCAATGGAATATAATTATCCCAGTTATCTTAGTTTCCTGTTGCTGATGTAAGCAAATTATCATAGATTTGATGGCTTAAAAGAAAAAAAAAAGGTATTATTTTATAGTTCTGGAGGTCAGAATTCCTAAACTGGTTTCATTAGGCTAAAATCAAGGTTTTCACGGAACTGTGTTTCTTCCGGAGGTCCTAGAAAAGAATCTGTTTCCTTGCCTTTTCTAGTTTCTAGAGGCATCTACTTTCCTTGGCTCAAGGCCCATTCATCTTCAAAGCCAACAATTACTGGCCTCTGCTTTCAACAACACATCTTGTCTGACTCTAACATCCTGTTTCCCTTATAAGGACCTTTGTGATTACACTAGGCCCACCCAGCTAATCCAAGATAATCTCCCCAGGTATAAGATTTCATCCAGGCTTTAGGGAAGCCTGATGAACTACTATGCAACTGTTTTTAATGCTAAATTTAATTTCTTTCTGCCGTTTTAGTCTCTGCCAAATTCTTGCTCTTGATGTTATTCCATCCTTTAAAAATTTCCCCAGATGAAAACTTTTTTAATAGTGTTATTTATTTAATCCTCACCTGAGGACATACTTAATCGATTTTAGAGAGGGGAAAGGAGAGAAAGAGGGAGAGAAACATTGATCAGCTGCCTTTTATGGGCCACAGCCCCACAACCTAGGCATATTCCCTGACAGGGAATTGAACCCATGATCTGAGCCACACTAGCCAGGGCTATGGTGTTCTTTTTTTAAAAAATCGCACCTAAACTATTCTTAGTTTTTAAGTGGCTAATAACATTCATACGATCCAAAATTCACAAAGTACCCAGTAGAAAATTTCGCCTTTCCTTTGCCCTCAGACACCCAGACACTCAGCTTCCCTTCTTCGAGACAATCAGTGTTACCAGTTTATTGTCCATCCTTTCAAAGCTATCCTATAACAAAAAAGCAAACATGTATGCAAGTAGGTATGAGTGTATAAATACTTTTTTACATAAACAGTAGCACATCAATACATTGTCTTTCATCTTGCCTTTTTCACTTAACTACATATCTCGATAGGTTCAGATTAGTACATACAGAACTTCCAAAACATAATTTTTCCTTTTAATCAAATAGTTCACTGAATGCATACACCATACCTCTATTGATAGACATGTAAGTTGTCTATCACCTTTTAATACTGTAGGCAATGCTGAAGTTTTGCATCTGTTTATCTGTAGGATAGCTTTCTAGAAATGGAGCTGTTGAGTCAAAGACTAGTTGCATTTGTAATTTTATTTTTACTTTTAAAATTTTTAAAAAAGATTTTACTTATTTAATTTTAGAGAGAGGGGAAGGGAAGGAGAGAGAAACATCAATGTGTGGTTGCCTCTCACCCACCCCCTACTGGGGACCTGGCCCAAAACGCTGACTGGGAATTGAATGGGTGACTCTGATTAGCAGGCCAGCACTCAATCCACTGAGCCACACCAGGCAGGGCAATTTTTTAAAACTTTTATTAAATCTAGGTAATGGATACATGGGTATTTAATTTCACTGTTCTTTCAACATTTCTGTAAGACACCAAGCAAAGCTCTTTTCACCTCCAATTTTTTATTTTCAAAAAATTCAAGCCTACAGAAATGTTGAAAAACCAGTGCAATTAAACACCCAGGTACCCATTACCTCGATCCATCAATTGTTAACATTTTGCTGTATTTGCTTTCTCTCCCTCACACACATATACACAAACATATACAGTGTAGTGTTAAAAGCCATTTGAAATTAAATTGGAAACATTTGTATCCTAATAAGGACATTCTCCTATAGAACCATATTACTATTATCACACCCAAGGAATTTAACACCAATACAAAAGTAGAATCAATATATAGTTTATTATACTTTAAATTTTTTATTTTTTTATTTTTTTTAAGAGAAATTAGTTTTTAATATTCCTTCAGTATATTCAAAGATATAAATTTCTCTCTAAGTACTATTTAGGTGTAGCTCATTATTTATTTATTTTTAGAGGGGAGAAGGGAGAGAGAAACATGAATGTGTGGTTGCCTCTCAAGTGCCCCCTACTGGGGACCTGGCCTGCAACCCAGGCATGTGTCCTGACTGGGAATTGAACCAGCTACCCTTTGGTTCTCAGGCTGGCACTCAATCCACTGAGCCACACCAGCCAGTGCCAATATATAGTTTAAATTCAAATTTCCATGTATCCCCAAAATATCCTTTATAGGTTTTGTTTTTAATACAGAATCAATCAAGGATTAAGTATTTTGTTAACTTTATTTATTTTCAGAGGAGAGGGAAAGGGAGGGAGAAAGAGGTAGAGGAACATAAATGTGTGAGAGAAATATCGACTGGTTGTCTCTCTCATGCCCCGAACTGGGAGCTGGCCCACAACCCAGGCCTGTGTCCTGACTGGGAATTGAACTAGTGACCTTTTGGTCTGTGAGACAATGCCCAACTCACTAAGCCATACCAGTCATGGTGATATTTTTATTTGTGTATATGAGAAAGGTATAGCTCCAGAAATCAATACCTATATTAAATTCATTACTACTGCCAGAATTTGAAAAAACTGGTGTTTTGTGAGTGATACTGCTTGAAGTGTAATCATTTAATGAAAGGAATTGAGAATATTGCTATAATGCATCTTTCAGAAAGATGGAAACTGCCTAGGCAGAAGAGACGGTATCTTTTTCAACATTTCTGTATATTTCTATCTCCTTACTATATCACAAACACAAAATCAATATATTTACATATATGTACTGGGCCAAAATCAATGACCTTTCCATACAAAATTATACTAAGAAAACACTAATAGACATTATATAATAAAAGGAGGCAAGGTCATCAAGAAAAAAAAAAAGGCAAATTATCCAACAGTTGAGTGCTATTGATTTCTCTTAATAACACTTCTGGAATGGAGAAAACGGAGGATGAGTGCTTTGCAGACAGACATGTCTCTATTTCAGAAGTATCCGCTAGGAAGAAGCCAGGAAACCTATGTTTTTGTCAGTGGTTACACATCCTCAGGGCTTGTATTAAAGCAGAGAGCATCACTTTAGTGAGGAGAAATTGTTCCTAAGTGCTCTACTCCTTAAATCTTTAGTAGAAAGTTGAGCAAGTTGATAGCAGGCTATTTAAGGCCTTTCATTATTTTGAACTGTAGAGCTTTAAAAACTAACCTACAAATTAACTAGAAAACCATCAGAAGGAATTTTCTAGGACCTAAAATTGAAGATTTCACAGAAATAGAGACTCTAACATAATATTATTGAGTGTACTGTGCTTTGTTGTTATAGCTGTGGTCCATGGGTCTACTGGTAGAAATCACAGCCCTGAAGCAGACCTCGGTGAATTCGTTTGACTGCGTTCTTTAGGTAGTTGTCCTCCAGTGGCACTTTAAATAGAAGGTCAGAAATTTCATCATGGCTGGAAAAAACAAAAAGATAATCAATTTTTCTGGAGACCTACACTATTATAGTTAAATGGAGACCTATCTCTATTTCAGTGGAATTCATGTTTTTGGGTAGTGTCCTGGGAAGCACGAATAGGCATTTCTGGAAATAATTAGACTATTGAGTTTGAACTGAGATTCTAAAAACAAAGCCAAGAACCAATTTTGGACATAATTGTGAGGTATCTTGACCTAGCTGCATTCTCTGGCTATAAAATCTAAACTCTTGGACTGCTAGTGTTTGCTGATGGATTTGAGGTGGGCACATTTTAAATTCTGCCACCTTAAAATCTGTCAGCAGTGAGTCTGAAAAGTTGCATACTATATTGCAAGATTTAAATATTTTTAGGTCTGGTTCCACAGGCTAATTGAGAAAAACATCATGACTGCACAGCTTTGTAAATGATTATTCTATTTTTAAGACCACAAAAGTTGTTCACATATGACCGGGGCTAAGCTTATGCAGGATTTTTTCCTTTCTTGATTCCTATTTTAGGTAACAGTGTTAAAAAAGTGGAACAAGTATAAAAGAATAGACTGGTGGTCTACAACATCCCCTGGAGATAGCAATGAAGGTCACTGGCTTTGAAAGAACAAATTCTTCAAAATAGAAGTCAGAAAGAAGTAACATTTGGTTCTCACTATGGTCTATCCATTTGTTGACCACTTTGAAGATCTTTCAAATGATCTAACAAAGATAAAAAAGTAATGGGAAGCCCTATCCTGCTGGCCCTTCACTCACCTGATGTTTCCAAGGTGATTTTTAATGGAGAAAGGTAACGGTACAGATGGATAATGGGCCGAGAGAGAGAAAGTTATCTCAAACTTCGCAAATGCTGCAGAACTGGAGAATAAAAGCCTCAATCTGCAAAAGACAAAATCCTCAACTAAAAATACAAAACAAAAATAGAATGAAACACAAATATATCTTCTTTTTACAATGGCATGTGAAACTTTGGTGTACATTATTTCTTGCTCCTATCAGATATACAGGAGGTAAAACATCTGGAACAAAGTATTGTTATGATTAATGAAACTCATTAATAAAGTATTTTAAAAGTTTTCTACTCCTTTTATGATTGAACTGTGTTCCCCCTCCACAAATTCATATGTTGAAATCCTAACCCCAGTACATCTCAGCATGTGCCCTTATTTGGAAATAGGGTCATTGCAGTTAAGATGAGGTCCTACTGAAGTATCATGGGTCTCTAATTCAAAATCACTGGTGTCCTTATAAAAAGGGGCCATTTGGACACAGACATACATGTAGGAAGAACGTCATGTGGAGATGAAAGCAGATAGTGGGGGTTATATATTTACAAGCCAAGGAATGTCAAATATTGCCAGCAAATCACCAGAAGTTAGGAGGGAGACGTAAAAAAGATTCTCTTTCACGGCTCTCAGAAGGAACCAACCATGCCGACACTCTGATCTCAGACTTACAGCCTCTGGCACTGTGAGACAACAAATTTTTGTTGTTTAAGCCACCAAGTTTGTAGTGCACTTTGTTATGGAAGCCCTAGGGAACTAACACACTTACTCAGTATTATTCACATCTGTGTTCATTAGGTTATAATTTGGTCCCCATCTCTTTAAAAACTCAATCTCTTCTCCAAGCAGTCTGCAATGGCTTACTATCAGTGAGATTTCTTGAAGCATCTGGGAAAAATAAAAGAAGCAAAAGAAATTATAAAAACATTTCAGTGTTTAGTGGCTCTTTTATAAAGAACTCTCCAAAGTTAAATGATTTAACACATTTATCATTTCAAGATCCACAATTACACATCTAAAATTTTAGTTCTGCATTTTTGGGACAGGTAACATAATTTGCCTTTAAATACTTTAATCAGAATTTACCTTGGATACCTGATGCTGTGTTGTACATTTCTTCTTCCAGGATTCCTGTTCCTCAATGTACTGAAAAATAAGCTTATGAACTAAAAGGGAGGAAGAAGGAGCTTTATCCTCTGAGGAAGGAAAAACAAAACAAAACAAAAGCAGAGCATTAATTATTCAAATATTTTATATAAATATATAAGCTAGAAATATTATACAAACTATAAATACCTTCAAACTACTAGGTGTCTAAGTATCCTCTCCATTTTATTTTCAAACATATAAATCAGAATACATGGTGAACATAAGACATTCTTATAAAAACTCAAGCCTTTATCACATACAGAATAAAACTTGGTTAAGAGCATAGGCTTAAAAATAACATAAACGTGAGTTTAAAATCCTGTCTTTCCCCACTACCTGAGTGATCCTAAGCACAATGTTTAATTCTTTTGGGCTGTAGGTTCCCAATTTGTGAAATGGAGAATAGTACCTACCTCATAGTGTTGATGTAAGTAATATGCATTGCCTGATACAGAATAAGACTCACAATGATAATTTTTAGATTACAAAAATAGCTATTAATCATCACTCAAGATCTAGCAATAATAACTTAAAAATTATTTCTTTTAAAACCTACCCAATATTTGGAACATAACTCTAGCAGTTTTGTGTCTACTACACATGTCTAAGGACAAATTATTATTATTATTTATATTTAACTTAGTATGTGAAAGAGTTTTCAAGGAGCAATTTACATTTGTAAATTTCCAACATATTTTCTAGTGGCTTAAATGCTTTGAACTTACCATCTAACAGAGATTGAAAATTCAGGTCAACAATGCTCCTATAAGCCTTGTTCAGGAAAGGGAGACCATCTAGGAAGAACCACAATAAGGACAGTATTTCTTTTTATTATCTGATTTTAAGCTACATACAACTCAAGTACTTTAGAGTCCTACTCTTTCTAGGTAGCAGGACTTTTTCATAGGGAGTTGAAGGTTTATCCTTGAATCATATTTTTATCTCTATATGGTAAAGGCTCCTCTGAGACAGCTAAACTATACTGATTTGCAGGCCTTTGGAAGAAATTTAAGGTGTAATACATTTATAGTTATATTTGTTAACACCTCCTTCTTTGACCCCTAACTGCTGTGCAAAGATAATATTATTTTCAGGAACCATATGAAGAGACTGTGACCTCCCATGCCTATTTTCTTTGTACAAATACAGTAAAAATGATTTATGTTTTTAGCATTAGAGTAATGAATTTTAGGTAGCCAGAACAGCTGCCTGCTCCTCCAGACTCTAGAATTATCTCTTGTCTCTCAAATTGATTTTTCCTTTGGATACTACCATGATACAAATAGACATGATCAATCTATACTTTCAAAAAGATTACAGCTCACAGGAACACACAGATAATTGCAGTAATAAACACACCAAGAACTACAAACTGTTATAAACACTATTAAGGCAAACTGCAGGAAGCAACAAGAACATAAAACAGGAGGGCAAGTAACAAAGAGAATAGGTATAGTGAGAGTCTGGTAAAATTTCCTTGAGAAAGTGATAATTAATCTGAGCTTATAAGGATTATTAGTAAAAATTCATTTAGTGAAGAGGGGGTGCTAAACATTTGTGTTTCCTCCAAATTTGTATGTTGAAATCCTAATATCCAATGTGATGATACAAGTGGGACCTTTGGGAGGTGCTTAGATCATGAGGGTAAAGGCATCTTATAAAAGAGATCCCAAAGAGCTAAACTTGGTCTTTTGTCATGTGAAGATACAATCAGAAGCATGCAGCCGGGAAAAGGGCCCTCACCTGACCATGCTGGCTTTCTGATCTCAGATTTCCAGCTTCCAGAACTGTGAAAAATTTCTGTTGCTTATAAGCTACCCAATTTATGTTACTTTTGTTACAGCAGTCCTAATGGACTAAGAAAGAGCAAGAGCTCCCAGGTATAAGAAATGTCAGTATGCAGGTCCAGAGGTAGAATGGAATATGACTTAAGATGAAAGCCCTTAATCTTTTTTCAAAAAAGAAAATTTATTTATTTATTTTTAGAGAGAGGAAAAGGGAGGGAGAAAGAGAGGGAGAGAAACATTGATGTGAGAGAGAAACATCAATCAGCTGCCTCTCACATGTGCCCTGACTGGGACCAAACCCGCAACTGAGGCATGCGTTGCGACTGGGAATAAACCCAACAACCTTTCCCTTTGTGGGACAATGCCCAACTGAGCCACACCAGCCCGGGCAAGACCATACTCTTTTAAGAAAATAAAAGAAATTCATTGTGCCTGACATGCAGAGAACAGTGTAAGATGAGACAGGAAAAGGAGGGAAAAAAAGAGCTTTACAGGCTATGTTAAATATTTTGATCATCAGTCTAAGAGAAGTAGGTGCATGATCAGATGTCCAACAATCATTATAGCTCCAGAAAGGAGAATGAAATGGAGTAGAAAACGAGAAGATCCACAAAGACCAGCTGGAATGTTATTGTAGTCACCTAGGTTAGAGGTGACTATGGACAGAAGAGGGGAAGAAAAGTGAATGAACATTAAATTAAAAACAGTAAGTCTTATTAATGATTTAAATATGCCTAGTGAAGGAGAAAGAGGTATGGAGTGATTCCTAAGTTTTAATTTTGGACCTGGATGGAAGTTGATGGTATTCATTAAGAAAAAGGACTTTTAAAGAGAATCATGTTTGGATGCTGGGACCATACAATGGATTCTAAAGATCCTAAACATTTTATTTATTTTTAGAGAGAGGGGAAGGGAGGAAGAAAGAGAGAGAGAGAGAGAAAGATCAATGTGTGGTTGCCTCTTGATTGCCCCCAATTGGGAACCTGGCCTGAAACCCAAGCATGTGCCCTGGCTGGGAATTGAACCGGTGACGTTTTGGTTCACAGGCCAGTACTCAATCCACTGAGCCACGCCAGCCAGGGAAGATCCTAAACTCCAGTTTGGTCATATTTACCCATGATTGGCTATGATGCAGTTAACTGTTTTAAGAGAAAAAAACCTAAAGATACTGAGGCAACCCCAACAAAACAGCTAGGACTCTCTCAAGTCACCATATAGTGGTTATCTACCTACTTTGATAAGCCTACCAATACACACAGGACTTCCAATTAACTTTTAGGTTAACTGAAGTATAAAAATACAGTCAAGAGTCACCAGCCATAAAAGTAAATTCTCTATGACAAAAGACAAAGAAAAAAGGAACTCAGAGTAAATGGATGTGAATAGCATGTGATCCAGTAACTGAATATGCAAAATTTCTACTGTCTAATGTAATTCAACAAAGGGTAACAGTCATTAGATGAATTTTTATTTTACTCTTTATCGAATAAAATAGACACAACTCTATTCTCACTAATTGAGGTGAGAGCCCATTCTAAGATTTTTTAGCAGTGCTTTTGTTATGTCAATAGTTATTATTGCGTTAAAATAAAAATTTGAGTTTAGCCATATATTTTTCTGCAGAGGGATTATCTTACTTTTGCTACTTACCTACTGGCTCTCCGAAAGTGATGGTGAGTTCTATTGAATCATAAAGAAAGGTGAATACAGCTTGATTATCACTCCACTCAATGATATCCCACTCAGACAGGCTGGACAGATAAACAAGACAAAAAAAATATGTTTTTGAGATAAAAGAAGAAAGTTGACTTCAGATACCACCTAGTTAGTACCAACAACTGCTACTCGAGTTTTTCTGCTGGATTGGGAGAAAAATTTTAATTCAAATATTATGAACGTACAAGCATGCTTTTGAAATAAGAATTCACTCAATCCTGAGTTATATATCAGAGAAAAACCAAGTCTAGGCAATACAAAATATTAAATATTTTAAAATTATAATTACATAGCTCTCTCACCTTGTATACTTCCAACTTAGTGTTGAGTACTTTGACTTGTTTTGAGGCGACATTGGTTAAAAACAGTGACATATACTGCAAACACATGTCAACTGTTCTAGTAGGTGTAGACAACCATAAAGGCATAGGATAAAACACAAACTAATGATATCAGCTTTTTCTTACCTCAACTGATCCAGTAGCTCTTCAGTTGTATTTATTTCTTTTTGTACAAAGTCTATCTGAGCAAGGGTTTGCTCTTTCTGTACTTCTAGTTCTAAGAGATTTCTGGAAAAAAAAATTCACAGAAAGGTAAGTTCATTGTTAGAAAATTCAGACTCTATTAAAATAAAAGGGTTATGACAAGAAGTCACATTTTAGATGGCTCCTCAGTGAGGTGAATGGCATCTATTTTTGCATTCTCAAATGTGTTACTTTTGGGATGAGCATTAATCTAGAGCATGGGCCTTAGGAAAGGCCTAAATCAATGGCTCTTAAATTAGAATCTATAAAGATATCCTTGGGGTTTTTCATGTTCTTTAAAATTATTAAAATTTATATTTTCATTTTGATGATAAAAATGTAAACACAATGCAGATTATGAGATTGCCCACCTTAAAACTGAGACATGCCATAATTTCAGTGCTTTCATTTGGTTTTGTTTAGTTTATTAGATCTAAATAGAACTGATGCTTTATTAGTCATTTTGCTAGCATCAGTTTAATTTCAGCCAAACATTATCACCTGTCAAATTAATATTGTTAATAGGAATTTTACTAGTTTTGTAATTACTTATATTTGATCTCTTTTAGTCTTACAGTTAAATAAAATTCATGAGTATAAGAAATATACATCTCATATTATACTTATTGATATTTAAGTATACTATAAAAATAGTAGGTTTATTTTGCTTAAAAGGATCCTGATATTATTCAAGTTTGAGAAATAGTGTCTTGGATTAATACCCTATAAACAATAGTGCTTAGAAAATACTGTCAACCCCAGGGTCAACGTCAAAGCCTTGAGTCAATAATCATATCCCTGATCTTGTCAGTTTCTAGAGACAGGAAGTTATTTAACCTTGTGAAGTTTAGCATATTTTCTAACACTCAAATTGAAGGCTGACCTTTGAAGCTCTTCTTCATCAGTTTTCAACTGTTCCAGTTCTTTGAAAAGAAAAATAAAAACAAATCTATCAAAATGGATACGTTGAAATGTTCCTACAAAAAATCATCTATTTATTGAAAATTGTATCTCATTAATCTCGCCTAAATAAACCAACTCAGAACAGAAGGGTTCCCCCCGCCCATTTATCTCCTTACCTTTCTCTGCAGTTCTCATTTCAGAATCCCATTCTTCCAGGAAATTGTCTTCCTCTTCATGCTCCAAATTCTTAGTTTCTAAAGTAGACAATGTGCATTAGAATAACCCAGTCAAAAATAGTTTAAAAACTGGACTTAAAAAGAATAGATGCTCCTAAAATATATTGTTAAGAATATTTGACATGGCATAAAAATAGACATATAGATCAATGGAACAGAATAGAGAGTCCAGAAATAAATCCATGATTTATACCCCATTAATATTAAACAGAAGAGGCAAAAACATACAATGGGCTAAAGATAGTTTATTCAAATAAATTGTGTTGGGGAAATTGGACAGATATATGCAGGAAAATAAAACTAGACCACCTTCTTACACCACAAACAAGAATAAATTCAATATGGATTAAAGACTTAAATGTTAGAGTCGAAACCATAAAAATCCTAGAAGAAAACATAGGCAGTGAAATGTCGAAAATGGCTTGTAGCAATATTTTTTCGATATATCTCCTTGGGCAAGGAAAATGAAAGAAAAAAATAAACAACTAGGACTTCATCAAATTAAAAAGTTTTTGCACAACAAAGGAAACCATCAACAAAATGAAAAGACAACCCACTGAATGGGAAAACACATTCACCAATACATCTGATAAAGGATTAATATTCAAAATTTACTTAAAAAACCTTATAAAGCTTAACACCAAAAAACCACGAACAATCCAACTAAAAAATGAGCAAAAGACACTTCTCCAAAGAGGACATATAAGTGGTCAATAGACATATAAAAAGATGCTCAATGTCACTAATCATCAGAGAAATGCAAATTAAAACCACAATGAGATATCACCTCACACCAGTCAGAATGACTATCATCAGTAAATCAACAAACAGCAATCGCTGCAAGGATGTAGAGAAAGGGGAACCCTTCTGCACTTTTGGTGGGAACGCAGATTTGTGCAGCCACTGTGGAAAGCGGTATAGAGTTACCTCAAAAAATTAAAAACGGAACTACCTTATGACCCAGCAATTCCACTTCTGGGAATTTATCCAAAGAAATCTGAAACACTAATTTAAAGAATATAAGCACCCCTATGTTTATTGCAACATTACTTATAATATCCAAGATGTGGAAGCAGTCCAAGGGTCCATCAGTAGATGAGTGGCTAAGACAGCTGTGACACATTTAAACAATGGAACACTACTTGGCCATAAAGAAGAAAATTTTACCATTTGTGACAGCATGGATAGACCTGGAGAACATTACACTAAATGAAATAAGCCAGTCAGAGAAAGACAAGTATCATATGATTTCACTTATATGTGGAATCTAATGAACATACTGAAATAACAAGCAAAATAGAGATAGACTCACAAATAAAGAGCAGGCTGATAGCTCTGGGTGGGAGGGTTGGGGAAATGGAGGGACTGAGCAAAAAAGAAAAACAACTCATGGACAAAGACAACAGCGTGGTGATAGTGGGTGGAGGTGGAAGAAGGTATGGGGGATAACTGGTAATGGAAAAAATACAAAAAATAATCTGTTAAAAAAAAGAATATTTGATAACCACTCATCATTCCCCCATTTTTCCTTGCCAAAAAAAATCACTGAGATATAATTATAATTTCATTCAAAACTTGCTCCTAGAAGCAGACAACTGAACTTTGAGCCATATACCAATGTTCTCCAATAGTCGCTTTTCAGGGGCCATTATCACTTGGAAATTGTTTATATAAGTTTGCATAATCAAAGTTATGTTAGGCAACCCAATGGACTAAGCAGAAACAGATACTATATACATATATATTTAAAAATTTTTACTTATTTTTAAAACCTTGTAGTCATCCTTAAAAATACTGCTCCCCCATCCAAACTAAGTTTAGATTTTTACCTCAAAAATATTTTTTGAATCTTTTTTTTCTTCACCATCACTAGCCCCCCTTAATATAAGCTACTGTACTTTCTTAACCATACCAGTTCAATAAATAACTACTGAACTTCTTACATTTACTCTTGATCTATTCAAATTCCATCCCAACACTGAATAGTCTGCTTTCCTCTCTACTCAGTCTTTGTATCTTAGCTTAATTGTCACTTCCTGAGAGGGAAGCCTTTCCTGACTCAACTAGATCAGAATTCTGTTTCAGGACTTTATAGCACCATGTAACCTCTCTTCCATAGCACTTGCTGTAACATTATTTGTTTAATTCTTATATTCTCCTGTAGACTAAAGCTCTATAGGGCACTTTTTCACTTTTTGTTTTTAATCACCATAGTATTTTTAGCACTGAACACTGTATATGACATTTACTAGGTATTCAGTATATTTGCTCAAGGAATAATGAAAGAACAAGAAAGAAATAGGGAGCCATTTAGTAGTGATACTTAGAGAAGGAAGTGTGATTGTTGGTATTTTTAAAGATGAGAGAGGGGTGCATACATCCAGTAGAGGAGGCAGAGGTTGAATATACAAGACATAAGGAAAAGTTGGTGATACATGATTTCTGAGAAGAGAAGGAGCGATGAAACTCAAAATTTAGGTAGAGAGATTGGTCTTATGGAAAACAAAGGATGAAAGAATGAATAGATAGATTCAAGTTTGGTTTGTTTGGTCACAGAAAGTTTAGAAGTTCAAACCTAATGGTTTCTATTTTTTTTCCATGAAGTGAAGAGAGTAAGGTAATGAACAAAGGGGTAGGGCAGTCTAAGATTATGAAATTCAGATATTTATCAATTCAATGAAGAAAATGTGCACTAGACACTTATTGTATGGAAAGCACAGTTCTAAGAATTTTGAAGGATATGAAGAAAAATAAAAGCTGATTTTTGCTCCCATAGAACTCACAATTTAGTTAGGAAGATAAACTATACAAAAGTAACTATAATTACAAGTAGATTTGATAGGTACTATAAGAAGTACTGATAAAATACCCACAAAAGCTCAGTGGAGATAAAGACTACTTCTTTTGGTAGAAAACAGATTAATGCATTAGAACAGACAAAGTGGCAGGACTGCAGAGAAAGGACAAGATTTGGTTGGAATTTAGAATGTATAAGTAAAACAGTAAATCATGTAAGAAAGAAAAATCTAAAAATGATTATAGAAATGTTTTATGTCAAGTTCAGGAGTTTGGACTTTATTTCATAATAAATGCAAAGAGAAAAGTCTTTCGGGGGTATAAAATAATGAAAGCTGCCCTCCATAATTACTAAGCTGCTGGTTATTAAATATGCAGGTTGGACTGGAAGGAGATAGAATGAAGACTGTGAATGTCAAGTTAGAAGACTTCAAGTAGCACATTTCAGAATTAATGACAGACATGACGGGAATGGGAAAGAACGCAAGACAAGTTGAAAAGCAGATATGACAGAACTTGATAACAGAGACTGAAAAACACTAAAAGTTTTGAGCTTTTTACAGTATATAAGAATGGCGATGCCATTAATAGAAACAAGAAACATTATAGGGAAAACAAGTTTTCAGATTTTAATTTGGAAATGGGAGAAGATAGTAAATTCCATTTATTTACACAGAGTTTAAGGTGCTTAAGGACATGTTTGCAGAGAGTTTCAGCAAGAAGCTATAAAAGTTAAGTCTGGAACTCAAGACAGAGAGGTTAAAAATGCCCTCACCCCAAAACTGTACGTTCAAACTTGTACTTTACCTATTTTCACCTCAGTGAGACAGCTGGCAATCTTCTTAAGTATGTTGTCCATCTCATCTATCCTTACCTGAAGTTTCTCCCTCTCATTCTAAACACACAATATTATAGACTGTTAAATTAAAGTTCTAAACAAAACATTATAACATTATCAGGTTTGAAACAGCTGACATAACTATGTCTAAATCATGAACAGGCAGATCTTAAAATGAATGCCAAAGTTTCCACTCTACATTTAAATACTACTTCAAAAAAAGAGTTCACTAAAAAATGTTCTAGCTATGGGAAACACTGGTCTAACAGAATCATGGCATTTTTTTCTTTACAGAATTTTTAAAAAAGATTTTTGACTGTAGACATTAATATGCTATCTATTATATTTCTCTGAAAAGTGATATTGTATGTAACATATCCCAGACTTACTTGCTAATAGAAAGTTTTTAAACACAGAAATTTTCTTAAAGGATGATCATTTTGGGAGATGCTACTTTAAACACAAACACAAAAGTACGCAGCTAGGTATGAACTGCATAAAAGATAATACTATAGTCCTTAGTAATGGAAAATCAGAATCCTATATTGTTTTATTTTAATCTGTATAATGGATAACAAATTTGAGATAAGAAATAGGTCCATATTAGTAAACATATTTTAGAATTACTCAAGGTTCTAAGATTTGCCACTTTTGATAAATTGAACTCCCCCCTTGAACAATTCTAAGTTTTTGCCCAAGTCTCATTCACGTGTCTAAGAAACAGTCTTCATATTCCACAACCACCATAGAATAATTTCAATAGATCTTTCTATGCTATTAACTTTCTCAAATTACCTGAGCTGACTGCACCAGTTTGTTGTAGAGAGCCACTTTTCCTTGGTGAGTAAAGACTTTAGTCATCTTGGTAAAATGTGATTTTATTTTGTTCAGGTAAATTCCGAAGGCCTTCAGCTATAAGGAAAAGTAAAAGGCTACAATGCACTAAACAAATTAGAAAAGGCAAAAGATCTGAGAAGGCTGGTTCAGATGATACATGCTAAGCGTTACCAATTCTAGATTCTGATTCCGAAGGCAGGGTATTTCTCATTTGTAAATTTAATTTCATTTAATAGTTTAAAAGTGCAACCAAAGATTTTAATTTTGATTCCTGCTTTCAATTCACTTATTCATATTACAAATTAGAAAATAACAGGTTCTTAATAACTCTTTTAATGTATTAGAGCACATATAAAATGAGTTATAATTTAATCAAATCTTTCCTCATCTAAATCTAAGTGAAAAGCAAACAAGGAGGGAACTCTAAATAAACTTCAACTATATTTCATATATTAATATTAATTGATAATTTCAGGTTTGAAAAAATTATATATTAACAATTGCTCGTGTATAATTAAATAAAACCTTGGTAACATATTATACCTCAGAAGGAAATTAAAGAAATCATTACTAAACACCAAGTAATAGTTACCTATTTCATAATAAGAATTGTTCAAAATGTCTATATTGATTCCTACTCAGAAAATGAGACAAAAGTACCTCTTCATCCGAGCAGTGTCTCATTTTTTCCCATAGGTTCCCATTTACATCAGTCAACAGTTTATCTTGGTTCAATGCAGAAAGCTTTAATCTAAAATATAGAAAAGTTAATTAGCATAGGTTTCAGAAGTTAGCTTCAATGAATCAACTCAGATCTACAGGCATACTTAATTTAATCCTAGTGGTTTTTCTACATAAATAGAGGGGAATAAACTCAAGAACAGTGACCAGCCTTATTATTTCAACACTTGTAGAACAGTTAAAAAATGTTATAAATCAAAAAAACTTCGCACAAATAGAATCCTCACCTCAATGTTATCAGCTTGTTCCAACATGAAAACATATGCTAATAAAGAATCCTGAAGGCCTATCAATGCGTAATTGTGAGGTTGTAACTATTATTTTAAATACAGGTTCCCAATTCAGTTCAAAGTCCTATCTCAACTCTACAGAATGACATTGATAAAAGTAGCAAAGACACACATATATATATTGGCCTCTTGTTAATAAGCAGAAGAAATAAATTTCTACCAGAGTTAAAAGATATTACATACAAGCATTGAAGTGCAAAATCAAATAGCAGAGCACCTCTAAACAGGCTATTCATTGCATTTAATTCAAATAAAGCATTCTCAGACAAATCATAAGATGCCCAACTTATTTATACAATGTGAAGAAATTTGTCTGTCTCATTCAGTGAAGAACCCCAGTACTTAGTACAGTATCTAGCACACAGTAGGTGCTCAATATATATATTTGTTGAATAAACAAGCCAGAATCAGGCAAATCTGCAATATAATAATTTAACAGCATCTCAAGCTCCTATTTTTAAAACTACATACTTCATAAAAGATTATTTTATTTCTTTTCTGTTTGTTAAACTGGTTCAAATTTAGTTGGATAATTCTAGATAAATAAAATATAAACATGATTTGGGTTGCAAATCCTGATCTACCTGAGAGAATCTAGGTATAGTGTAGCTAACTCATAAATTAGTCTGCAGCATCTATGTAATACCAAAGCACTAACCTATAGTCTGAGTAAAACCATATTATTTTATATATGCAAATCAAGGGCAAATGTGATAAAATTATAAACTCAAAGGCATTCTTAATTGTAGGTACTATATATAAATCTCTAAAGAGATACCTCTTTTTTGAAGAAGTTCCTTTGCAATCAATTTATGATATAAATCTAATAATTATTGTTCATTGAGGACATACATTTTACAAAAAGTGGCATGAAACATTTTATATACACTCTTATCTACTTTTCATATCTACCTGCTGAGTAGGTATTGTTATCCTCAATTTATGGATATGGAAATAATGGTTAAATGGCTTATATAATGTTACACAGTTAGTGTCATAGCCAGGATTGAGCTTCAATCTGAAAGCCAAAACTCTTTCTATAAACATACTGTATCATATCACCAATTAATGACATCAACTTTTTCTATGCTAGTGTCATTCTAATCAAAACCTTACCACACAAATTATTTGCCCATGCAACAAACACAAAAAATGAAAACTTTCATACTCTTCAATCTTTTGGCGAAGAGCTTCACAATCTTCTCTATAAATCTGTATCTTGGGTCGGTAAACATATTGATTTAACATCAGATCTTCTGGAGTAGTCTGCGTGTTTACAGTAAACTGAAAAAAAAAATCAGTCCCTCAAAACTAGTATTTTGAGAATAAGACATGTTTAAGAACTCTTTCAAGTTTCAGAGTACCTATTTCTCCACGTTCTACAAAGAAAAATTTGAATATTCTATTAAAATTGTTATACCAGTAAAGCCATAAACTGAAATCTGAATTCAAGTCTCTGACATCAAAGTCTACTTCCCACAGATGTTTAGGTAAACTATAGATGTTCCACTCACAAAGAATTGTGAATGATTTGAAAATGGCTATGTAGAATTGGTCAATTATACCTCAACAAAGCTGGAAAAAAGAATGGCTATACATTATTTTAAGTAATTCAATACCAAAAAATTCATTAACTTCATCATTTACCTGCATTAATTATCCTTCTGACTTTTTAAGGATAATTATTTTATTGTTCCAATTTCTTAAAGCGAGTATTAATAATTCCTTTATTTTTAAGACTCTCTTCTGTAACAACGGTATGTGAGACTCTTAATTTCCCGTTAAGCATAATTTTTTCTGTATGTCCCATAGATTTGGTGTTAAATGTTTTCCTTTATTTTGCTTTCTAAATAGCTTTGATTTCCTCTTTGATATAAAAATTATTAAGAAGTGTGTTCCTTAATTTCTAAGAAGCTAAAGAATATTTAGTCCTTTTATTAGTTCTAATTTTACTGGATTAAGATCAGATGATGTGGTTCATAAAAATCTCCATTTTTTTCAATTTGTTAATGTTTTCTTTGTGGCGAAAGGCATAGCTAATTTTTGTAAATGTTCGACAGACTTAAGAGAAAAAGAATTCCTATGAAAGTGTTTTAAGTTTTTCTATTAATCTTTTAAATTGAGTTTGTTGATTGTATTATTCAAAAATTTATGATCTTATATACTTATTTTGAAAGTGTTTATTAAAAACTGTTATTCTTAGATTTTTTTATAATGGGAAAGCTTATGTTTAGGAAAAAGTATCAAAAACAAACTAGATAGCAAGGAACGAGAAAAATTTCACCTTATGAAAATCCATGGTACAAAAAAACATCAAATTTTTTTTTTTAAGAGAGGGGGAAGGGAAGGAGAAAAACGTCAATGTGTGGTTGCCTCTCGCATGCCCCCTGCTGGGGACTTGGCCCGCAACCCAGACATGTGCTCTCACTGGGAATAGAACCAGCAACCCTTTGGTTCGCAGGCTGGCACTCAATCCACTGAGCCACACCAACCAGGGCAACAAAACAGTGACTTTTTATGCTAACCACAAATACACCTATTATAGGAAAACTCTTGTAAAAAAATTTGCTTCCTTTGATTCTTTTTTCTTTCTGAATAAATGCTTGCTTTGATGCAGTTTAGTAAATAAGAACAGAATAAGAAATGTTCTGAGGCAACTATTTTGCCAAGAAATTGCACTTACTTTGGCTGGGAGAGTGCTCTGTCGGGGTTTTTGTATCAAAATGTGGACTTGAAGAAGTATAAAGAACTCCTTTATTGTTATTCTCCCATCTTTGAGTTTCTGAGGAAAGAAGAAAGTTTGCATGACCATTCAAGGTGGGCTCATTTTGATTTGTAAATAGCTTAAAGTTCTTTGCATACATTTGTAGAAATACTATCCAGATACTTGTAGTCTGTACATGGTAGATTTTATCTAAAATCTATTTCTTGAGATTATTCAGTAACAGTAGAACTGGGGGACGGGGGGAAACAAAACTGAGCTCTTCTAATCATATTTTTACTCCCTATAATTAACTGCCACATTGGGTCCCTAACTGAGAAAACTCACCATCTGTATATTTAAAACATATCAACATTTTTTAAAAATTAAAAAAAGAGAAAACAAAGCAACAAAATCAGTTGCCTTAGTAATGAGGAATACGTTAACATACCTCCTTCAAGCTCTCTTCACAAATAGTATCTGGGAGAAACTGTGATTCCATCTGACTGTTGCGTTGTGCTAGAAGTAAGGCAAATTCAGGTGATGAACAAGTCAGAATTAAACTGGAAACTTAATTTTAGTTATCATTCAGGTTTATGTGTAGTTCACGCTCCTGAAGCTATCCATTAGGATCTTGTTAGAAAGACAGTCATGTGTAAGGCAAAGTATGTTACAGTTTTAAGGCTCCATTCAATGTTTTCTCAACTGAGTATAGCCTCTTAAGGAAGATGCTCTACCCAGGGTAGTATTTCACTTCTCAATTTATTAAAACTAAGAATTAAAGATAAACAAAGTATTATTTTACTTATCAACTATTTATAACCCTAAAACGCTTATATAAATTTTATTTTTATTTATTTTTAGAGAGAGAGAAAGGGAGAGAAATATATCTACTGGTTGCCTCTTGTACGCCCTCAACTGGGGACCTGGCCTGCAACCCAGGCATGTGCCCTACTGAGAATTGAACTGGTGAACTTTCAGTCTGTGGGAAGGATACCCAACCCACTAAACCACATCAGTCAGGGCTAGCTTATACAAATTTTAAACATCTCTTGAACAGAAATACATTTATTATCAGTCAAGTAAGCAGATGACTTGTATTAATTAGCTTTCATGAAAATCATCTTACTGCTGAAGTCCAGAGAGATTCCATCAGTCTTGATTGATTCCAGAGAACTGCTGCAACTAGATGGGGTCCTGCTCAGGCTTTTTATCAATACACTGTTAGCATTTTTATCTCTATCCCCTTCAGTATGGTACCCAAAAATCTGAAATTATCAATTAAGGAATATCATCAGGACAAAGTTATAACACTGTATACTCATAATGACTAAAAGTTTGTTGAACACTAACAGAAACACTTCTAGCATAAAATTTATGTATAACTCTTATGAGTTCCCTTAGCAAAGAATCAGAGTAAATACCAGGCAAATGAAGTCTTTAGAGTTAAAGGTAATTTTATTTTAAAATACACAGATATAACTTTGTGCATTACACTGTATAAGCAAATTATTTCTCTGAGGTATCTTAGTTATAGCCAGATTCTATGAACTATCAAATATAGACCTATCCAGTTATTCAACTACTAGCCACCAGGGCCAGGGATACCACACTACAGAAAACCAGAAGAGAATATTGGCTATACATGGTGGCCCTGGCTATAGTACAGAAAAGAAACTTATTTCCGGGCTTTAGTACTTTCTTCACTTGATGAAGAAGACTCCTTTGGATGAAGTCAAATAAGTCACGGGATCCTGTTTTTACCATTTTAACCATTTGACTTTACAGCCTTAAATGTCATGTTTGTCTACCTACTTTACATATGTTTTTGAGGACATTATATTCTTTGTCTAAATGCTGTAATATAAGCAAGCTCCATGATAGCAGATTTTTGTCTACAAATTCTTGCTGATGTATCCTAGCAATCTCAACAGTACCTAGGACAGAGCAGATACGAAATAAGTATTTATTGAAAATAGTACTAATTTTCATAGAATCTGTTCAGTTATATATTTTATATTGCTATTAACTACTTTTTCAAAGCTTCATAGACAGGCCATTTCCTCGACACCTCATCTTATAGAACCACTAAAATCATCTTCTAAGCTTACATATTTTTTAATTTAAACTGCTTTCTATGAACTTCTGATACTTTTAATCTTTATTTCTCTACCTATAACTTAGCTTGAATGACAGGTTTTATTCTCCCAAATTATCCAAATCAGTGTCCCACAGCTTTACTATCTATGATCTCTTTCATAAATACAAAATCTCACTTACTTCATTTTGAGATAGTGGACTTGACCTAGGTATTTTCCCATGAAAGAAATGGACTTTCAGTTTCCATAGACCCTCGTTAGCCAAGAAAATTCAGTCAAGCTTTTCTTTATGCAGTTTGCATAATAAAAAGGCTTTTCACCCTTCAAATATTTTAACAGTGAAGATGGCTTTTCAAACCACATATACTCTGCCTTGAAATTTTCACATGCAAAGCTATGACAAATTATCAGAGGTAACAGAATATTTAGAATTGTATAATTTCTACATTAATTTTTGTACTACTTTTAATTTTATTTTTTGTGACCATCTGCCACTTCAAATCGTTTTTAAGTCTGTTAGTCAGTTTAGTCCTTAAGATTCTACAAAGAAATATTTCTTCAGCCCTATAACTGAAAATAATCAATTTCTGCTTACCCAAGACTAAAAATAAAAATTCAAATATGCCCATAACTTTTTCAAGACAGAACTCACCTCTTGATCTTGTGCAGTATCACTAAACTTAATCTCACTTTTTCTGATTTTTTTCTCATTCTGAATATCAGCATCATCTTCTGGTACCCAGGTTCTTTTTTGGCTATTGCAGGTTTCTTTCATTTTATCTTCAGATGGTGAAATCTCTTTTTGGTATGTCTCGATCAAAGATTTTTCCTCAGTTTCTATGCTAATAGAGTCTGAAGAATTAATCTCACCAGGATATATAGGAAGATTTTCCTCATTTATATATTGAGATGGACTTAAGTTCAGCTTATCTGCAATAAATCCAATGCCTAAATCCTTATTGGAGACGAGGTGAGTTTCTAAGTGATTCAAATCAGTTGTGTCTGGCGGAATCTGCTCCAGGTCATCAATACCAGTGACACTACAATTTCTCTTGTTTGGCAATCTAGGCAAAAATATTCCCAAAGAACATCTCCTCACTTTATCTTTTACAAATGGCTTTAGTAGTAGAGAGTTGGTTTCAGACCCACAATGAAAAAATTTATTTTCTTCCTCTCTATCATCTTCAACATTGTTGGACACTGTGTTAAAATTACATATTTCTGTAGCTTGTACTCTACTCATATCATTATCTGCCTTATTTACTAATTCAAGTAATTGTTCTGGAAAAGATGGTATATGAACAGTTTGTAAATCCAAAAATTCTTCAGTTTTCTTATTCAAATTATTCAGACTTGGATTGCCACTACTAAAACTTGCAGTATTAGATGAAATTACAGGATCTGATGTTTTTTTAGGATTGGCATGAGTTTGAACAACTTGCTTAGTCAAGTCTGAGTTACTGTGGAAACCTATGGCTATATTACATTTAGCTGTTTGGATCTTTTTCTTCAGTTCTTTTTCACAGGCTACAGTAAACTGTTGCTCATTATTGAACATTATGGACTCATTTTCACATGTAGGTACAGAGGAATTTCTTATAACAATATTTAAATCCTTACTTTCATCTTTATTAACAACACTCTGTCCTTGTTGAGGCAACGGAGGTAACTGGGTAGACAGATGAGGCTGAGAACCAACATGAACATCACCATCAAAGGCCTGTTTTAAACTATGTTCTGCATTATTAATGAAGTCCTCCATTTGATCCTCTGGAAGCTTACCAGATACTTGCTTTGAATCAAGTTTGGTCATGTTCTTCAAATCTTGACCATATACTAAAGTTTGGTTAGCTAATAGATTTTGGGGCTCCTGAATCAGACCTTGATCTTTGAGTACTGTTATGACACAGTCTAACTGTCCTTTGATATTAGTTTGAATAACTTTTTCCTTCTCTAACAAAGAACAAGCAGCAGAGAAAGGCACCCCCTCCGATTTCAAGTAATATTCACTGGCTAAATTGTTTGTATAAGCAAGATCATTTTGCACTGGGCAATTATTGGCTTTCTCATCTTCATCACATAAGGACATGGCATTCCCCTCTAAATTATCAAAAGAGGTAATAACATTTGGTAAACAGGAATAATTATTGCTGGATCCACAAATAGCAGGTGCATGACTCTTTGCAAAATCTACATTTCTTCTGTCTGTGCTATTTAAGTGGCAGCTTTTAAGTTTGGCTTTTTCCAGTGTATAGGCCTGGTCTAAAACTTTCCCCCTGACATTTTCATCCACAGCAGTACTATGGAATTTGACAATTTCTATCTCGCCTTGATCCCCAGACAATGTATTAGAATAGGCTATCACATGACGCTTTTGCTCAGTGTGAAGAACAATTTTGTTTCCTACAGACTGTACTTGTTTTTCAGTGATTTCTTGAACAGAGCTACCATCCTTAGGAAAAGAAACACCCAAGGTTTTTCCTTTTGCTGTTCCTAACTTAGGGCACTCCTGAAGTATTTTCTCTGTGGCTTGACAATCAATGAAAGCATTATGGGACTTGGTGACTTCTAGATCACTGTGATTATCGACAAACATTACAGTATTTTCCATAGGCTTAGTGGTAATTTTAACTGGTGAGACAGTTTTACACTCTAAGGCAGTTGTGTGACTTCTAGTGATCTCCATGTCATCCTGTCCACATGTATAAAAAACAGTTTTAGAAGTTCTCGCTAAAGGCACCAAAAGAGACTCTTCTCTATCTTCTAGGGAACTTTTGTTATTTATTTCCACTGTGCAACTCTGGATGATATCCATGTCATTTTTATCATTATTTGAAAATGTAATGGGCTTGTCATTTTTGAGTCTGAGGCTTTTCTTTCTTTGACTTATGTCTGACAGGGGTTCATTAAAAAATCCAGGCTTTTGTACATCTTTGCCATTTTTCCAAATGGTTGATGTAGACACTTCCATGTTATCATCAGTTATAAATGCTACAGCTCTCTCTTTGGGACCACTATTAGACCGTTTCTCTGATGTAAGCTGGCTGGCTTCTGCTGCTGAATGGTCATTTTTAGCATTCTCTGTAAAGAAAACACTCTCTTCACCTGGAGGAGTCACTTTTGGTTTTCCTAGGCTTTTCCTTTTGGATAGTTTAAAGTCAGGTCTGTCTGGAAGCACAGTTCTTTCTTTTGCTTGGTAGTCAATGAAAACAGTGTGGGACTTTGTCATTTCCAGTTCATCATGATTACCTATAAACATTACAGTTTTGTCCACAGGCCTGGTAGTTATTTCATCTGGTAAGAAAGTTTCATATTCTATGGCAGTTGTGTGACTTTTAGTGACCTCCATGTCATCCTGCCCACACGCATACAAAACAGTTTTAGAAGTTCCTGCCAAAGGCAACAAATGGGAATCATGTTCATCTAATAAAGGTCTATGATTTATTTCCAAAGTATAGCTCTTGGTGATATCCATATCATTCTCATCACCCTCTGAAAATATAACAGTCTTATCAATTTTTAGTCTGTCAATACTTTTCCTTCCACAAATCTTGACATCTTGTTTTTCATTCAGACATCCAGGCATCTGCACACTTCTGTCCTCCAATGTATCCATATCATTAAAAATGAATACTCCAGGTTTTTCTATAGGAATTTTATTATATTTTTCAACTTTTACAGCTTCATGTCTGTTTATGGTTAGTTGGCTGATACTGTTTTCTAAATTAGTCTTACCAAGGTCTTGTACTTCAGAAGGACCAAATCCAATGACAACAGTGTGACTCTTGGTTAGATCCATATTTTGATCCTCTTCTGAACAAAGAATTATCTTGTCATGAGAGCAGTCAAAGATGGGATTGCCTAAACTTTTCCTCAGTGCCTCGGGCAGTTTAGAATTCTGGCCTGGTATAGATTTTACTATATTACTGTCAATAGCAGTATTATGATTTTCTGTAGCACACTGTCCTTCTGATGAAAATAGTTTTGTGGTAGGAAATACAGATTGCTCACTTGACACGGTATTTCTATTATTCCCCAGTGCTACTTGTTTATTAAGATCTCCGTCACAGTATACTATATTATACTTTGTGTTGTCCTGGTTAATATTGACTGACTGAAGAGAAACTTTATCAAGATATGGTGAAATCTTCAAAACTTGATCTTTTTCTTTGCTCCAGGTGTCAGTTAGGATGTTTTTAGATATCATGTTTGATTGTTGGGATAGTTCAATATGACTTTTGGTCATTTTTTCCGATTCATTTAAAAGGCTATTGCTATCAGAGTGAGACTTACTAATATCCTCAGATGCTTGATTGTAAGATGCAAGAGAAACTTGACTTCCTAAATTAGTTGTGTGACTTTTAATCAAATCCTTATCTTCACCTGTGAAGATTACAGTCTTTTTACCAGTCAATGAAATAGACAGAGGATTTGCCAGGCCCTGTTGTAATCTTTCCTTAGATACACAAGGAACTGAGCTACAGTTTACATTCATTTTTTCTTCCTTTGACATGGTTACGTGATTTTGGAGCATCATTTCTTTTTCAGATATTGGTATGACTGTCATCTGTACATTTGTTTGATCTTGTTTAAAAATCTGATTGTCTATTGCAACTGTGTGACTCTTGGTAATGTCCATGCTATCCTCTCCTGAATAAATCGTTTTCTCTATGAGAAGAGAGCTTGCATCTGGATTAGGATACATTTTGGCATAATTACTGTCATGCTTCAGCAAATTTTTTTCCTCTCTCATACTTGACAGACACTTGGTCAGTTCCATGGCATTATTACAACTAGAATACAAAAATGTCTTGTAATCTTGAAATGATGGACTGGAACATATAGATTCTGGGATCATGGCCAATGTTTTGATATCTTGATTAGAAGTCTGTGTGACCATGTGAGTTTTTGTCCCAGAAGTATTGCTTCTGGTGATATGTATTTCAGCTTTAGGGTCTAAGGAAGTGTCTTGAAAAGAAGCATTTGGTTTATTCTCAAAGATCCTCTTCTTCCCTGAAGCTCTGGTTCTATAACCTGTTGTAACATCCATCATGACAGTCTGAGTTTGATTTTCTATTTCAGATAAATTATCTGCTGAGGGTAAAATCTGTATAGTGTGGTTTCTTGTCAAGTCCATCAAGTCACTACCATAAACGGTAATATCATCACTTTTAAATTCCCTTAAGCTGGCCTCACTGGATGTCGGAACGAAACTCTGAATATTGGCTGTATGACACTGGGTAAAATTCATCCCATCATCTTCTTCTCTAAAGATCCTAGTCACATTACTGTTATTTTCATCAACATTAGGGGATTCATGCATTTGATATATAGAAGAGGTCCTATTTGATTCTTTGGAATGAACAGTTATCTCAGAATTTTCTTTATCAGGTCCTATAGAAGCATTAGATTTCCCTGTTTTCAATCTTTTTATGAAGTCATTGAAATTTATTTTCTTTTCTGAATTAGTGTTTTGATCCATGGAAAAATTTAATTCTTTTTTCATTCTTGAATCCTCAGTGTGAAGCTTTAAGTTAGCCAGGAAGGATGTAGTATCTATCTTGGTAGAATTCTCACTTTTTGTACTATCTAAAAGGCCTTTGGTAATCATCACAGTATGACTTGCTGTTAGGTCCATCTGGTTTTCATCTGAAAAGATGACTGTCTGGTCATTTGAATATTTCTTTTCATGGTTGTCTTCTGTAACAGAAATCTATAATGAAAACAAAATATCAAAAAATCAAATGGAATGCAAACTATGAAAGATATTTTACACATACTATATAAATAATCTTCAATGATGGTTTATGATACCTTGGTGTGTTTGAGTCAATGGTGTGGTGTGTAGTAATTTGTCATAAAAATTTTTTCTAAAGACTTTGAATATTTTTAGTGTTTTCAGACAAATTAAAAGTTCAAAGTTAATTATATATCCATTAGAATGATTAAAAATAGAAAGGACTGACAATACCAAGTGCAAATATAATGAAAATTCTAATTACTGTATCAGATAGGTCATTCTCATTCTAAATAAAAAAGGCTTAGAAAGGGGTAAGTGCATAATGACTAATTTATAGCACATTCTGTACTTCTGGGAGTCAGATTTTCTTTGAATCTAATGCAGTGATTTCATTTTTAAGGATATGGTCAAACTCCTTGCTACTTAAAGTATGGTCCAATAGACCAGTTTATCGGTAATACCTAGGAGATTGTTAGAACTATATAATCTAAAGGCGTACATTAGATCTACTGCATAAGAATCTATATTTTAACAAAATCCTGAGATGATTCATAAAACTGGCAGTGATTTAACTTTCCTTAGTTAACTTAAAGGGTAAGAAATTTTTCCAGTCTATGGGTCCATTTTGGCAGTTAACCCCTAAGTCATGCTATTACCGTTAAATTTTGAGTTTAAAAAAAGTTTTAGCTGTCAAGAGAAATTAAAATATGAAGGCACTTTCATGAACTCATACCTCTCTCTGTTGCATCTGGGTCTGAATGGGAGCACAAAGCAATGTGTTCATTCCTATTGGAAAAAAAGAAAAAGAAAAAAACTATAGTCAATGACAAAAATATGTATCACCAAGAGGCGAACTTTCCTTTTGTTAGGTTTTTTATCAGTTACAAGTACGGTGGCACTCTTATCAGTAGCTTTGCTTTTTGTGGTCATTCATGGTCAACCATGGTCTAAAAATACTAAATGGAAAGTTCCAAAAATAATTCCTAAGTTTTAAATTACATGTCACTCTGAGTAGCATGATGACATCTTGAGCCATCCTGTTGTATCCTGCCCAGGACATGAATCATTCCTTTGTTCACTGTATCCAACACTGTGTATGCTGCCTGTCTGTTAGTCACTTAGTAGTCATCTTGGTTATCGGGTCTATCATGACAGTACTGCAGTGCTTGTGTTCAAAAGCCCTTATTTTACTTACTAATGAACCCAAAGTCCAAGAGTAGTGATGTTGACAATTAGAATATACTTCTCTTAAGTGAAAAGGTAAAATTTCTCCACTTTATAAGAAAAAAACAGCTGTATACTGAGGTTGCTAAGAACAAATTTCCTATTTGTAAAATTGCTTAATGATTTATAAATTAAGCTTTATCATAGCTATGTATGTATAGAAAAACAATTACATACAGTTTGTATTATTTGTAATTTCAGGCATATACTGTGGGTCCCGGAACATATTCTCTGTGGACTACTATATTTACTGAAGTTTTATTAGTTATTAAGTCTTTTGTAAGGACTTAGGTATTCAATTTTATTGACTTTTAATTGTCTCATTTTAGAGACAGAGATAGTTGCTGTATTCTCTGTGTGACTAAAATGTTTTTAGAATGTGGTACAAATTTTAAAGATGGAGAGTTTAGACTACCTTTTTTTCCCTTCTCCATTTTTTTATTTCCTGGATAGTAGAGGTTACATGGTAAAGAGTACCAACTGATTAGACTGAAATTTTAGGGTAAGACTTTGAAATCTAGACATAATAAAATGTGCATTTTATTTTAAAAAATTCTAGAGGAGAAAAAAGAAGATTCAAGAGAAGATGAACCAACATGGAAACTACTGTAATAGTTCGGATACAACATATGAGAGTTTATGTTAGGATAAGACACAATGAGAATGGAAATAAGGAGTTAGACTCAAGACATTTAAGAATTAAAATATAAAAGTTTAGGGAACAAACTGGACTTAAAAAATACAGGATTGAAGATGATGCTATAATAAAAAAAAGGAAATTGATTTAAAAATACTTAAGTTTAAAGGCATATCTTTAGAATACTTTAAAGAGTTTACAGCAACCTTGATTAAACGCGATGAAGTAGTTATAGGCTTATTAGAAGCCTTTTTATCAAGTTTTCACTCATTTATTCAACAAATATTGCTTCAGAACGTATTATGTGCCCCCAAACAACTATTTGCTAAAGCACAAAGACAAGACAAAATTTCTGGACTTCAAGAGTTTCTAACTTAACAAAAGAGCCAGAAGTAAATACCAAAACTACAATGTGATGGGGTGAGTTGAATTTCTGCTGCTGAACTTTGGGGCCTGCTGGGAACAGGACTTGTACAATGACAAGTATGTCTGGAAGGCTGTGGTCCAAGGCCATTTTTGCTGGCTATAAATGAAACAGGATCTCTGGAACCAGAGGGAACACACAGCTCTTTTTAAAATCTAAGGTGTTTATGCTTGAGATGAAACTGAATTCTATCTGGGCAAGAGATGTGCTTATATGTACAAAGCAAAGAACAACACAGTGACTCTGGGTGGTAAACCAAACAAAACCAGAGTCATCTGGGGAAAAGAAACTCGTGCTCATGGAAACAGTGGCATGGTCCATGCTAAATTCCGAAGCAAACTTCCTGCTAGGGCCATTGGACACAGAATCCGTGTAATGCTGTACCCCTCGAGGATTTAAACTTAACTGAAAAGCAAATAACAGCCCTGACTGGTGTGGCTCAGTTGGTTGGGGGCCCTGTGGCAACTGGAAGGATTCCTGTTTGGAGCACATGGCTGGGTTACAGGTTCATTTAGTTCCTGGTCAAGAAGCAAACGGGAGCTAACTGGTGAATGTTTCTCTCACATGCCAATGGTTCTCATCCTCTTTCCTCCTCTCTTTCCTCTCTAAAATAAGTAAATAAAATCTATTTTAAAGAGTAAAAACAAAAACAAAAACAAAAAACTACAATGTGATAAATTCTACAATAGACTGAGAAGTAAAAGGAGTGTTGTGACAGCACAGGACAGAGTTTCCAACTTCTTGGTTTTGTCAGAAAAGATTCCACTTAAGCCAGTACTACTCAATGTATAGTTTCAGTCTGTGAATGGCTAGTTCATGAAGCTTGCAGCTAATGTAAATTTATATAGTATTTCTTACATCAAGGAAGCTTTGCTAAGAAAAAAATGTCACCTAAAGAGTAGCAACTTCCGGTCAACATGGAGGTGTACGTAGATACACTTTGCCTCCTTGAACAACCAAAAGAAGGGCAACAAAATTTAAAAACAAAAAACAACCAGAACTACCAGAAAATTGAACAATATGGAAGTCAAACAACCAAGGAGTTAAAGAAGAAACACTCATCCAAACTAGTAAGAGGGGCAGAGATGGGAAGCCGAGGCAGAGAGGGCTCGTGGCAAGGCAGAGGCTGGAGGACCAAGTGGGCAAGATGGGGGCTGGTGGTCCCACATTTGCGTATGGATAAATGGGGAGGAGCAACTGGGGAGTGAAGCAGACCGCACAACCTAGGGTTCCCGTGTGAGAAAAGAATGCCTCAAAAGCTCTGGATGTAAATACCTGTCAGGATTGCAACAGCGGGAGAAACTCCCAGCCTCATTTGAGAGACCCACCAGGTCCTAAAATGTACACAAACCCACTCACCCAGGAATCAGCACCACAACTGCCCAATTTGCTTGTGGGTAGCAGGAAAAGTGACTGAAAGTCTGCCAAGAGCAGAGCAAGCAGCACTGTTCTATCCCTGACCCCTCCTCCACATATAGTGCTGCAGAGCAGAGATATGAGTTGCCCTGCCCTGGCAAATACCTAAGGCTCTGCCCCTTACAACATAACAGGAGCACCGAGACAAAGAAATATGGCTCAGATAAAAGAACAGATCAAAACTCCAAAAAAAATAACTAAGCGATGAAGAGATAGCCAACCTATCAGATGCAGAGTTCAAAACACTAGTAATCAGGATGCTCACAGAAATGATTGAGTATGGTCACAAAATAGAGGAAAAAGTGAAGTGTATGCAAAATGAAATAAAGAAAAATATATAGGGAACCAAAAGTGAAGGGAAGGAAACCGGTATTCAAATCAATGATTTGGAGCCGAAGGAAGAGATAAACATTCAACTGGAACAAAGTGAAAAAACAAGAATTCAAAAAAATGAGGAGAGGATGAGGAACCTCTGGGACAACTTTAAATGTTCCAACATCTGAATCATTGGGGTGCCAGAAGAAGAAGAGGAAGAGCAAGAGCAAGAAATTGAAAACTTATTTGAAAAAATAATGAGGGAGAACTTCCCCAATCTGGCCAAGGAAATAGACTTCCAGGAGATCCAGGAAGCTCAGAGAGTCCCAAAGAAGTTGGATCTATAATTAAGTTACCCAAGGTTAAAGATAAGGAGAGAATCTTAAAAGCAGCAAGACAAAAGGAGACAGTTACCTACAAAGGAGTTCCCATAAGACTATCAGCTGATTTTGCAAAAGAAGGGCCTGAAAAGAAGTATTCGAAGTCAGGAAAGGCAAGGACCTACATCCAAGATTACTCTATCCAGCAAAGCTATCATTTAGAATGGAAGGGCAGATAAAGTGCTTCCCAGATAAGGTCAAGTTATAGGAGTTCATCATCACCAAGTCCTTATTATATCAAATGTTAAAGAGACTTACCTAAGAAAAAAAAAAAGATAAAAATTATGAACAGTAAAATAACAACAAACTCACAACTATCAGGAACTGAACCTAAAAAACAAAAGCAAAAACATAAACAAACTAAGCAAACAACTAGAACAGGAACAGAATCCTAGAAATGGAGATCACACAGAGGGTTATCAGCGGGGAGAGGGAGGGGAAGAATGTGGGAAAAGGTACAGGGAATAAGAGGCATAATTGGTAGGCACAAAATAGACAGGGGGAGGTTAAGAATAGTATAGGAAATAGAGAAGCCAAAGAACTTACATGTATGACCCATGGGCATGAACTAAAGGGGGATGGAGGGGAGAGGGGAATAAAGGGGAGAAAAAAAATGGGACAACTGTAATAGCATAATCAATATACTTAAAAAAAAAACAAAAAACAACAACTACACAGTAGCTTATTGCTACAGGTGATTCACATTCCAGTGCAAGGTCTTCTGTCATGGACTGTAACAGTTTGTGGACTGGTTACTCTGTTTGTTTTGTTCTGTTTTACCTTCACCTGAGGAAATTTTTGTATTGCTTCTAGAGAAAGAGGAACAGAGAGAGAGAAATATCGATGTAAAAGAAACAATGACCTGTTGTCTCCTACATACACCCAGACATGGGATAGTTCAAGCTTGATCAGAGGAACAAACCCACACCTAGGCACATGCCCCGAACAGGAAATCAAACCCACAGCCCTTCAGTTACTGGATGATGCTCCAACAAAATGAGCCATACCAACCAGGACAGACTGGTTACTCTGAATAGCACTGAAGTTAACCTAAGTTAAGTGAAGAATGAGAAGACTGCTAGGCAAATTGTAGTAGGAAGAGCACTTTAGGTAGAGGAATAGCATTTACAATGGATACGGGCAGGAAAAAAGTCCACATGTGGAACTGCAAATAGTTCTTCATGGGCTAGAGGAAAGAACACCTATAAAGAAAAGGGAATAAGGTTGGAGAAGATGACAAGCCAAATCACAATGGCCTTTCTAAGTCTATGCTGAGGAGTGTGGGTTTTATCCTGCAAGCAAAAGTGTCATTAAATAATTTTAAGCTGGAAAGTAATATGTTAGGATTTAGAAATACATAAAATAGATTAGAATGTAGGCGGCTGCTTTGAGTGGTATCGGGGACTGTAGTCCTGTGCAAGCTAGGGCCTTGAAGAGGCTCCATAAGTCTTGGCCGGAAAACCGGTAATGCAATTGATAGGCAGGACCCAATAATAGCTCTGAAGTCCCCCGGGGGGAAAACAGCCCTAGAAGCAAATTACACTCCTTGAAGCATGCCTTGTTTCTGCCTCAAGCCCTGTTAATCTTATACTAGATAACCAGCCCAAGGCTGGGAAGGAAATTTACAAAATTCCTGTACCCTGACCCAAATCCCATCTGGCGCCATAATATTTACTCATCTCGGACCCAAGCAATTTGGTGTGTTCCTGCCATTGTCTTCTTTAAATATCATCTACTCTCTGTAAATTTAAGATACGGATGTAATTAGATTACCTATACATTCCTGCTACCTATCGCCTGCTTGTAACTCTCTCAATAAAAGCCATTGAGCATGGGGGCTTGGGGCATTCTCCTTGAGAGAGAATTGCATTCCCCTTTCCTTGACAGGCAAACAGTGTCTGGAACGACTCTTTTCTTCCATCCACAGCGAATCTGGGACTTTGCAGGCCAGAGTCCCTCATATTAGAAGGATAAGAAACTAAATACAGCCCTGGCTGGTGTGGCTCAGTGGACTGAGCACTGGCCTATGAACCAAGGGGTCAACCAGTTCGATTCCCAGTCAGGGTACATGCTGGGATTGTAGGCCAGGTCTCCAGTAGGGGGCATATGAGAGGCAACTACACATTGATGTTTCTGTCCCTCTTTCTCCCTCCCTTCCCCTCTGTCTAAAAATAAATAAATAAAATCATTAAAAAAGGAGAAGGAGAAACTAAACACAATAGCCCAGGAACTTGAATTCAAACAGTGGCAAGAAGGAACAGAGAAAAATAACAGATTTATAAGATATATAGGAGACAGGACAGAAAGCAAGTAGGGACAAATAGATATAGGGAATGAAGAAAAAAAAAAAAAAATTTAAAAAATGACTCAATGCCTGCTTTGAGTAAATAAATGAGTGTGGGGGTGTCTAAGGTTGAGGAAATAAGAGAACAGCAGTTTTGGAAGAAATAAAGTAAATTTGTGAAATTTTAAATTGAAAATTTTGTGTAAAGAACAGAACCCTCTTCACATTCTTTTTCATGGTTCTTTTAGCTATTACTTACCGAGGTATCTGGATAAAAAGAAAGGTATATGATAAGAAGAGTATCCTGATCATACTCACCAGTAATCTCACAGTAATTATCTTCTGGATTCTTATTCCTAAAATTTAAAAAGTGTTTAAAAAACTGTACCCCAAATAATTAACAAGAATCACAACAGTTGAATAATAATACCAATTACCTTTTACAATTTATTCCCATTAGCAATGAGTGACTAGCAATGAGTGATTGGATGAAAAACTAGTTATCTTCAAAACTAATCTGGCCTTAGTTTTGAAGATAAGCATCGTTTCATTTGCCCAAGAGCTACTGGTATTTACTTTCCTAAGTATTAACATTATAAAAATAATTTTTAATTTAAAAATATCTGTAGATTAGTATTTCTTGTTTTATACTAGATGATATATTTAAGGACTTATATATAAAAGCATATTTCATCATTCTATTAAAATAAGCTCTACAATGCACGTACTTATCAGATATAACAGTATATTAAATTCTGTGAAAAATTTGTTTAATTACTACTAAGTGTTCCACAAAAGGGACACAAAAATAAAAAATGAAAAGAATATTAATTTAAAAATCACTTTAATTAATAGGACTAAACAACTTTTAAAATATAATTTGAATCACATTTTCCTTACTTACTGCATAAATAGAACATTTTCTCTTGCTTCTGTTTCTAAAAATGAAATAAAGTTGAAAATATTTCAAGGACACATTGATAAAGCATTATAAAAACTGCATAAGGACGTTAACAAGAATAAAAAAAAAAATGCCCCCCATGCCTCAAGTTATACTTTTTAAACAATACGATAAACAATAAGTTATATCAATTATCTGGTTAGATACCCGCAGTAAAATTTTATAAAATACATACTTAGCAGGGATTGCATTAAGACATTACCTGCAATTTCTGACTTTCTCACTATTTTCTTATGAGATTCTGTCTGGAATACCCTAGAAAAGAAAATAAAGATTGATGAATATCTGTAATTTTGAATTAGAAGATTATGGTATTAATTTATATTGTTTTTATCTCAAAGTAATAAAGGCCAAATATGAAAAACCCACAGCTAATATCATACTCAACAGGAAAGCATTTCCCTTAATATCTGGAACAAGACAGGGATGTCCACTTTCACCACTTCTAGTCAACATAGTATTGGAAGTTCTAGTCACAACAATCAGACAAGAAGAAATAAAAGGCATCCAAATTCAAAAAAAGAGGTAAAACTGTCATTATATACAGATGACATGATACTGATATAGAGAACCCTAAAGAGTCCACAAAAAAAACCCTCCTAGAACTGATAAATAAATCAGTAAAGTAGGAAGATACATAATAAATACCCAGAATCAGTTGCATTTTCATACACTGATACGTAACAAACTATCAAAAAGAGAAACTAAGACAACAATCCTATTTATAATTGTGTTAAAAAATAAACAATACCTAGGAATAAAATAAAATATCTAAGAATAAATTTAACCAAGGAGGTAACAAAAAATAATAAAACACTACAGAAAGAAATCGAAGAGGATACAAATAAATGGAAGCATATACCTGCTCATGGATAAAAAGAATTAACATTGTTAAAAATGTTCATACTACCCCAAAGCCATCTATAGATTCAATGCAATTCCTACCAAAATAATAATGGTATAATTAACAGAACTAGAACAAATAATCTAAAATGTTATATGGAACTACAAAAGGCCCCCAAATAGCCACAGCAATCTTGAGAAAAAAAGAACAAAATTGGAGGAATCACATTAATTTATATTAAACTATACTATATAAGGCCACAGTAATTTAAAAAACAAACAAACAATGGTACGGCATAAAGAGACATATAGATAAATGGAACAGACTAAAACCCAGGCCTATATGGTCAATTAATATTTGACAAAGGAAGCAAGAACATACAATAGGGTAAAGACAGTCTATTCAATAAATGGTATTGAGAAAATTGGCTAGATATGTGCAAAAGATGAAACTAGACCACCTACTTACATCATATATAAAAATAAACTCAAAATAGATTAAAGGCTTAAATGCAAAACTCAAAACCATAAAACTCCTAGAAGAAAACACAGGCAATACAATCTCAGTCATTTCTCTTAGTAATATTTTTTGTGATGTATCTCCTCAGGTAAGGGAAACAAAAGAAAAAATAAACAGGACTATATCAAACTAAAAGTTTTGGCAAAGCAAAGGAAACCATCAACAAAATGAAAAGACAGTCTGCAGAATGGGAGAACATATTTGTCAATAATACATTTGATAAGAGATTAATTTCCAAAATTTATAAAAAACTCATACAACTGAACACAAAACAAACAATCCAACTAAAAACTAAGCAAAGGACCTGAATATGCACTTCTCCAAGGACATACAAATAGCCAATAGACATGAAAAGATGTTCAATGTCACTAGTCATCAGAGAAATGCAAATTAAAACCACAATGAGATATCACCTCACATCTGTCTAAATGGCTATCATCAATAAATCTACAAACAAATGTTGGCAAGAATGTGGAGAAAAGAGAACCCTTCTGTACTCTTGGAAATGAAGATTGGTGCAGCCACTATGGAAAACAGTATGGCAGGTCCTTAAAAGATTAAAAATGGGATTGCCTGAGGACCCAGTAATTCCACTTCTGGATATATATCTGAAGAAGCCCAAAACACTAATTCAAAAGAATGTATGCACTGCTATGTTCATCGTAGCATTATTTTCAATAGCCAAGGTGATTGCAGTCCAAGACCCTATCAACAGACGAGTGGAAAAAAATGATGTGGTACATTAATACAATGGAATATTACTCAGCCATAAGAAAAAATGAAATTTTACCATTTGTGACTGCATGGATGGACCTAAAGAGCGTTACGCTAAGTGAAATAAATCAGTGAGAGAAAGACAAATACCATATGATTTCACTTATATGTGGAATCTAAGGAGAAAAAAAAAAAATAGCAGAAACAGGCTCAAAGAGAACAGACTGATAGTTGCCAGAGGGGATAAGGGCTGGAGCACTGGGTGAAAAAGATGAAGGAACTGAGTAGTATAGATTGGTTTTTCCAAAACAGTCATGGGGATGTAAAGAACAGCATAGGAACTATAGTCAATAGTGTATTAACTATGCATGGTGCCTGGTGGGTACTGGAAATACCCAGGGGAACACTTTATAAAGTATTTGATTGTCCAACCACTATACAGTACACCTGAAACTAATACAAAATAATACTGAATGTAAACTTTAATTGAAAAAAAATTTTAAATTAAAAAAAATTTATACTCTACTTTGAGATAGGTAAATATTAACACTTTTGAGTTCAATTTTGTTATATCACAAATTATTAATATTTCAAATGCCAAAATTAGTTTACCACATTAAAATCTTACATTTTTTAATGAGCTCTGAGAGGATCATATTTTATCACTCTAAATAACCTAGAAAAATGTATTCATTCTCTATATACCTGGTGCTATATACTAGAGTCTGACACAAGATCCTTAACCTCAAGGTACTTTCACTGACTTTTTAAAAATATATATTAATTATGCTGTTAGAGTTGTCCCAATTTTCTCCCTTTGTCTCCCTCCACCTGGTACCTTCAGCAGTCCCCCTCTTAGTTCTTGTCCATGGGCAGCATATATAAGTTCTTTAGCTTCTCCATTTCCTATAATATTCTTAACCTCTCCATCTATTTTGTACCTACCAATTTATGCTTCTTAATCCCTGCACCTTTTCCCCTATTCTCCCCCTTTCCCCTCCCAGCTGATAACCCTCTAAGTTATCTCCATATCTATGATTCTGTTCCTGTTCTGCCTGTTTGCTGTTTGTTTTCTTAGATTGTTGTTGATAGTTGTGAATTTGTTGCCATTATAACATTCATAGTTTTGATCTTATTTTTCTTAAATAAGTCCCTTTAACAATTCATATAATAATAGTTTGGTGATGATGAATTCTTTTAGCTTTACCTTGTCTGGGAAGCACTGTACCTACCCCTTGATTCTAAATGATAGCTTTGCTGGATTGAGTAATCTAGGTGTTAGGTCCTTGCTTTTCATCACATTGAAATACTTCTTGCCAGTCCCTTCCTGCCTGCAAAGTTTCTTTTGAGAAATCAGCTGACAGTCTAATGGGAACTCCTTTGAAGGTAACTATCTCCTTCTCTCTTGCTGCTTTTAAGATTCCCTTTTTATCTTTAACCTTTGGAATTTTAATTATGATGTGTGTTGGTGTGGTCCTCTTTGGGTCCAACTTGTTTTGGACTCTCTGTGCTTTCTGGACTTTTATGTCTATTTCCTTCACCAAATTAGGGAAGTTTTCTTTCATTAACTTTTCAAATATGATTTCAATTTCTTGCTCTTTCTCTTCTCTTTCTGGCATCCCTATGATTTGGATGTTGTTACATTTAAAGATGTCCCAGAGGCTCCTTATACTATCCTTGTTTTTTTAAAATTCTTCTTTCTTCATGCTGTTCTAGTTAAATGCTTATTTCTTCCTTATGGTCCAAATCATTGAATTGAATCCCAGCTTCATCCTCTCCACTGTTGGTTCCCTATAGATTTTTCATTTCACTTAATGTAGCCTTCATTTCTTCCTGGGTCTTTTTTATGTCATTGACATACTTAATGAGATCTTTGAGCATGCTGATCACCAGTGTACTGACCTCTGCATCTCATAAGTGGGCTATCTCCATTTTGTTTAGTTCTTTTTCTGGGGTTTTGTTCTGTTCTTTCATTTGGGGTGTATTTCACCTCCTCAATTTGGCAGGCTCCCTGTGTTTGTTTCTGTGTATTAGGTAGAGCTACTTTGACTCCCTTAGTGTAGCCTATTGTACAAAAGGCACCTGTAAACTGTGTGGGGCAGAGCCCTAGGTTAATTGCCAGGGTGGGGCAACCTGCTCCACTGCTGTGTGTCTCCTTGTAGGGGGAGGAATCAGGGAGGGGACAATGCTGCTGCCTGGCTTCTGGAGGTGTGTCCAGCACTCACCCTATTTCCAGTCACTTCACTTACTCCCCATATAGAACTGGTGCCCTTCCAGTTGTTGCCCTGGTGCTGAATTCCAGAAGGGCTAGGTCTGCATACATTCTAAAACCATGCAGGCCCTTTAAGTGGAGCCTCCTGAAAATCCAGCGGTTTCTTCCCCCATCCCAATACCCATTGATTTTTATAGCCACAAATTATGGGGATTTATCTTCCTGGTGATGGAACTCTGGGCTGTGCAGTCTGGCCTGGGACTGGTATCTCTCACTCGCAAGGCATCCCTCCCAATTTTTATCCACTACACAAATATGTAGGACTGCCCGTTCCACCATCACTGACTCTCTGTGCCACACTGCATCTCTGGGCCTCCCTGCCCAGCACAACATCTCTGCACCTCCTACCCATCTGGATGAATGTGGCTTCTTTAAATCCTTGGTTGTTGGACTTCCATACAGCTTGATTTTCTGATGGTTCTGTGTGTTTCTTGTTTTGAGGTTTAGCTGTAATTCTTCCTGTGGTTGCATGAGGAGGTGAAGCATGTTTACCTACACCTCCATCTTGACTGGAAGTGTTCCTCACTGACTTTGTTATTAACAATTCAGATAAGTTGGCATGGACTCCAGAGGAAGAGATTTTTTCATTGCGATGATTAGGAGTAAGTTGCATGCAGAAATAGCATTTGATATTTCCCTTGACAAATTAGATCAGTTCATTTTCATTCAGCTAATATTAAGTATTGTCTATTTTGTAAGCATACTGTGTGCCAAGCACTGTGCTATGTTCTTTACATGCATTTTTAATGATTATAACAATTACCATGTTGTTTTACAGATGTAGATATCGAGGGCCATAAAGATTAAGTAACTACCAAGGTCATATAACTGATAAATGGCAGACCAAAAATGCAAACCCAAACTTTCTGACTTCAAAACCTGAGCTTCAAAACCTGTTTTTGAAGC